ATACCTTCAAATTTGAAAAGTTATTCCCTATATGTTATTTCATCGGCGGGAGAGGAAAAATTAAAATATATCGTATGAACGTACGCACGTGAGCTAAATTTTAAATTCTCACTTTCGTCTTACTTGAACAAATATATATCTATGTATCTAATATAAACGCTTAAATATAGACGTATCTCTTTAATTTTTGATATCGTCTGTAGGAAAAGAAAAAAAGGAGAAAGAAAAAAAATTATCAGATAATATTACGGCTCATTGATATGTTTATACGACATTTAAAAACAAACAGAAGAAAAATAGAAATAACATATAGAATGAAACCGAAGAATATAACTTCTCGAATTTATCGCAAATGTTTAGAAAAAAAAGCAAACAAATAAACAAATATCATCCGGTATGACAATTTATACCACGTATACGAACGATTATAATTATTATATTTATTTATTTATTCATTTAGTTTTCACTAAAGCTTCGTTTGTCTCATGAAGCTGACTTTTTGAAAGGATTTCCCTTTCTTTTTTATTTTTATTTTATTATTTTCTTTTCTTTTTTATTCTTTCAAATGAACGTTCGAAATTAGAGAAATATGATTCTTATACGATCAGTTTTTTCTAAGAGACGCTTGTACACGAACGGCGTTTTCATCGATCAACTGATTTGACGGTTCGCGATCAAACATACTGTCTGATTGTTTATAACAGCTTAAGAAAAGAAAAATAAAGAATAAGAAAATAAATTCTGTTTGCGAAGCCGCTGCTTCGTCCAACATAGAAAGATAAAAAGTAAAAGATAGAAATATTCCGTAGACACATATACGATGGCAATTTAAAAAGTTCACAGTTTTATTTTCTTTTTTTTTTTTTTTTTTTTTTTTTTTTTTTTTTTTTTTTTTTTTTTTTTCAAATATCATTGTTAAAGTGAAATACATCTTAAAATGAAGTGAAAGAACAAAAAAAAGAAGAAGAAACAAAACTGCAAATTTTTCAAATTGCCCTAGTACATTATCCTCGAATCATGCACATACGAATTTTATGGGTCAATTGCTTTGGGACATCCTGTATATAAAAACAAGCAATATTACGAAATACCTTCTACATTCTATATTCTATATTCTTCTATTATATATTTCGCTAATTGAAAAGTCTCACTACATAAAGTCTGTACAGATTGAAATAAAACGAGAATGGCTTACATAAACAAATAATACTTACATAGTTCTATTAATTGATATATATATATATATATATATATATATATATATAAATATATATATTGAAATGATTCTTCTCGTACGTTTCTTCGGCGAATCAGCCAGTCAATGACAATACCGATCGTGAACAGTCAATCGAAAACTCTGTTGCCGAGCGGCGAGAACGTTTGTATACAAACAAGATAACAAGCAAAAATGTATTTATTTTAATCTAACTCGTGAAGTGTGTGTATATTTATACATGCGTACAGGAATGAAATTAGCCCGGCAAAGATATATAATATACTGTAATATGCGTTAAAAGAATAGGAAAAGAAAAACGGAAAAAGAAAATACTTCAGCGAACGAAAATGTAAGATTCAAGACCTTAAGATGACACTTTTCTAAATATTGCTTTGAAACTGGCACAAATGGGAATCAATCAATCAATCAATCTATCTATCTATCTATCTATCTATCTATCTATCTATCGTTTTTCCGTTTCTTATTTCAAGCGATTCGTCTAACGTATGTCAAATTTCATCATCAAGAAAAAAGTTACAAAAGTTATCCTAAACCAAAGGATAAAAATCCATTTCCTAAAAATAAAAATAAAAAAAAATAAAAAATGTAGAAAAAAATAATTAAAAAAAAAAGGAAAAATAAAACAAAGAAAGAAGATGAAGAAATTATTCTTATCTTAAACAGATTCGTCTTTAATGGCGAATAATACACACATACAGTAACCTGAGCATACACGTCCATGTACAAAGCCTAAACCTAAGTATAATAAGCCTAAGAAAAATCATGCTGCCTTTTAACAGAAGAACAAACAAAAAATAAATAAATAAATAAATAATAATAATAATAATAATCCTGAACACAACAGGGAGGAACAACGAAAGCTCTCTCTTTTTTTTCCTTTCTTTTTTTTTTCGATTGTCAGATAAAATGTTTTCATTAGTATAACCATTTCTAATGATAAAAAAAAAAAAAAAAAAAAAAGATGTGCTCTTCTAAGGATGAAAGTAAGAAGGATCATTCCAATAAGGAATAATATCTTATTCGTCGAATAGAAAGAAAAAAGAAATAAAAGAAGCATAAATATTTTTTGATATTGCCTATTAAATTTCTGATACATTTGATGATTAATTTTATTCATCAACCTATATACGTAACATGAAAAACTTTAATACTAAAGTCGAATCGCTTTTTACTTCTCTCTATTCGTGTCTTTTTCAAAGTTACCGTTATCAAGATATCCTCTTAAGGGCTTAATCTTGATACATTTTTCCGCTCGAATAAGTATTAATATGGCGCTCTATAGTCAGTAACAAAAGATGCGTGCGCTTGTGAAATATATAATAATTACATCTTTCAAATATCAATACTACTTATATGGGGCAAGAAGAGTGACACACTTTTTAATTAAAAGATACATATAATCCTTGTTTTTTTTCTCATTAAATATTAATTAATCGCATTGGCATTTAATTAAGCTGCACGATAATTTTCATACTAATAAAAACTATTTAATAATATAAGCGAAATATATAAATTAATAAATGTAAAAGATTATATTATAAAATATTATAGACATATGAAACTTTATACTTATATTTAATTATTTAATATTCTGTAATGAACTTTCATACGTTTCGAATGATAATTATATATAATTTACAAAATATTTTATATATATATATATATATATATATATAAATGTATTTTCGTATGTATAATTTACAAAACTTTTGAAAAATGTTAGTAACGTGTGTCACTATCTCTGTCTCTGCAAAAAAAAGAATACAAACAAAGAAAGAAAAACAAATCCATCTCTCTTCTCCTATGAGGAAGAAATTAGAACGTTTAGTCGTTCTATAAATTACAAAATGGATTGTAATATTATGGAAGTATGCGAAAGAAAATCCTATGTTGAATATTCGGCAAAGCTTAAGTTATGATGAGTACGTATACATAATACGTCTGTATTATACGTATATGCGTGCGTATAATTAAATAATATGCCTAGCTCGGGACAGACTCGCAATTAATTTTGTACGACGAAAACCGCACGCGCACAAATGTTAGATTAATTGTATATTTGTTGGTCGATTGAATAAAACTTGTAACGATGTACATATATATATATACATATATATATATACGAACATATATACATACATACATACATACATACATACATACATACATACATACATGCATATATACAACCAATTTCATGTTATCACTTGCGCGTGTGTCGTTAGGAGAATGTGTGCGTGTGTGTCTGACTGCCTGTGTGTGTTATGTGTGCGTAAGCGCGTTTAGATATCATTTGCCGCTTAAAAAAAGCAAAAAAGAAAAAAAAAGAAGAAAAATAGAAAATAGAAAAAAAGAAGATTATTAAAATCCACGATTATATAAATATAATCGTATACATATACATTATATAATTATAATCCGATTCAACTGTTAATAATCCACACACATTGATGTCATTTATATAAATAACTATTGTTTATTAGGATGTATTTTCGATGACAAAAATGTTGTCGATAGAAGATTGATATTTTAAACGCAATAAGGAACGTACGAACATCGAGATGGAAACTGAACGATTATGATAATATCCACGCGATGAAGACAACAGTTTATGAAATTTGTTCTTTAAGGATATTGACGCGGCTGTGCAGGCCAATATAGGTCAATGCACATCTACCAATCGTGGAAACTTTCGTTCGATCGATCACATACATACGTACATAACATATATATACATATACACATATATACGTTATATATATACATACATACGCACGCGCGCGCGCGTGTGTGTGTGTGTGTGTGTGTGTGTGTGTGTGTGTGTGTGTGTGTGTACATGTATATACATGTATGTACATGTATGTAATGTGCTTTCTATCATCGCCAATCAATTTCATTCAATTTTTCTTGCTTCTTCTCTTTTTTATTATCGATAGCACTCGTATTCTCCAAATCCAATAACCGACCAAACGATTCTTTTTATTTTCCTTTATGCCCTTCTAGTTCCCTCCTATTTCATATGGTTTTTTTTGTTTTTATCGAATCAGATATTTCTGAAACGAAAATCAATAAAAAAATATTTATGGAAAAGATCTAGTAAAATTGACGATTTTTGACGTAAATAATCAATCAAATGGCTCAAACTGCCGTGACTATTAATCTCGTGTTTTTTTTTCTTTTTTTTTTTTTTTTTTTTTAGAAAGATTAACGAAGACGAAAAAAAAAATAATAATAATAATAAAATAAAATTCCACGTTAATAGATTAATTACGCTTAAATAGATTATCGGTTATAAGATATAATAATTATTCTATGCATAAATAAATGTACTAATTTATTTTGTAATATTTTAAAAAGGATTTTCTTTTTAAGCAAGTTTGTATACAAGACGCTTTGTATCATTTTTTTGTTAACAAAAAAAGAATAATAATAATAATAGTGTAATAGCATGTAATGCTGAGAATGTAAGTAACGTAAAAGAAAGTTTGTTATTGATAAAAAAAAAAAAAAACAAAGATAAAAATAATGATAATATCGTTTGGCGAGGGTCGCTTTTGTGAGCATCAGTCTATTTTTAAAGCTAAAATTTTTCCTTCCGATCAGGAAATATTTTAGCTCCTTGGAAGTCAAGAAAAGAAAATAATAATGTTATCACTATAACAAATATACCTACATATATACATATATATATATATATATATATATATATATATCGTATAATTAAATGTGTATTTAGATATTATCTAAACGGTCATTTATATTATAATTGTCATGCATGATTTTTTAAATGTACTTTTCATGTACTGTGAAACGTGGCACGAAGTGTATACCGATAATATTCTTATCGGTGACCCCTGCATTTATTGCATTTATTTCGTTTGATCCTTTTAATAATAATGACCACGAGAGAGGAGTTACATGACAAAAAATAAAAAATAATAATAATAAAAAAGAGAGATAAAAAATAGTATCACATGTATCATTGTGATATAATATCGTATCTTCTTTTTACAGGTACGTCTGCTGCATAGCACAAACTTTCTTGTGCTTAAAGGCATTCGTAGAATAGTAAACTTAATTAGATCTTAATTGTCGTTCGTAATTGGGTCCCGACAGACAGTTTTGAGTGACAATGGGGAAACAAAATAGCAAATTAAAACCCGAAGTATTGGAAGACCTCAAACAAAATACTGAATTTTCAGGTATCCTATGAAATAGATTTACTATAAATATTTATTATAAATAACTTAAGAAAATTTTTATATGTTATCGATGAAATGTATTTGATGTCTCTTTTTCAGATGCCGAAATTCAAGAATGGTATAAAGGATTCTTAAAAGACTGTCCTAGTGGACATTTGAGCGTCGAAGAATTTAAGAAAATTTATGGTAATTTTTTCCCTTACGGCGATGCCTCGAAGGTAAGTTTGATAATAATACGAATATAATTATGTAATAATACAGGATGGTGTTGAGAGTAAAAAAATCTAACGTATAAATTATCTGAATATCCTTATAGAGAGATTTTCAAGTAAATTATTATGCAAATTACTTGGTATAGTTTGCAGAGCACGTGTTTAGAACATTCGATGCAAATGGCGACGGGACGATCGATTTTCGAGAATTTCTCTGCGCTCTAAGCGTGACGTCCCGAGGAAAATTGGAACAGAAATTAAAGTGGGCCTTCAGTATGTACGACCTTGACGGTAACGGATATATCTCGCGACAAGAGATGCTTGAGATCGTGACGGTAAGTAATTCCGAAGCTAATTATTTCTCATTGAGTTGATCGATAACACGAATGCAAATGTAAAGATATATATGTGTGTATATATATATATATATATATATATATATATATATATATATACATATATATCTATATATATATATATATATATATATGTGTATATATATAGATACATATATACATATATATCTATATATATATATATGTGTATATATATATAGATACATATATACATATATATCTATATATATATATATGTGTATATATATATAGATACATATATACATATAGGTCGTCTTCTCTACCTACTATTTATACTTATCCATTTAAAAACGGGTCGATTGTACAGCTTGAGAGGACGAACTTTCAAACGTGCTTCATTTATCGATTTAATTATAATGTAAGATTTTATTTATACTTATACCTTGAAAAAATATATTTATTAATGACTGAAAGGTAAGTTAACTGTCATTACCGTTAATTAGAAAAGAATATAAAAATTAAAGCGAGAAGAAACAAAAAAAAATCTAACAGGAAAATTATTGATCGTGAGAAAAGAAAAGAAATAAGAATGAAAGAGAAAGAAAGAAAGAGAGAGAGAGAGAGAGAGAGAGAGAGAGAGAGAGAGAGAGAGAGAGAGAGAGAGAGAGAGAGAAGGAAAACAAATACGAATTACCTCCTTCCAGGCAATATACAAGATGGTAGGGTCCGTGATGAAAATGCCAGAGGACGAGTCCACCCCAGAGAAGAGAACTGACAAAATCTTTCGTCAGATGGACAAGAATAAGGACGGCAAATTATCGCTCGATGAATTTATCGAAGGTGCAAAGAGTGATCCCTCGATCGTGCGACTGTTGCAGTGCGATCCTAGTGCACAAGCTCAGTGAGACCCTGGGTCCGTGTGCGTTTCAAATGCCATCTGTAAATACGAATCGGGGCCCGGCCCAATCATAGCCCGGTTAGAGGCGATGCAATCATAGAAGGGAATCAATAGAAATAGAGGAAGCTGTCAAAACGAACACACAGAGATACAAATATCCTCGTTTACACCTACACCAATACACCTACAGAGAAAGAAAGAAAGAAAGGAAGAAAAAAAGAAAGAAGGAAACAAAAAACGAAATAATGAAAGAAAAAAAAAGAGAAAAAGATAGATGTTTATTTAAACTTTACATTGTTAACGTTAATAACGTTTATATGTGCATACCGTTATAGCCCGTCACAACATCACTATACCACCACCAACACCACTATACTACACTACAACCACTACTACTATTACAATTATCACACATGTACGGCGAGTATTTGAAACTGGATAAGAAGATACTTAAACTATATATACATATGTGGATGCCAAAAAGAAAAAAAGAAAGAAAGCATAAGAGATCAAATAAAAAAGCATACAATGATTTTCACAAGGCTGAAGCCAACAAAGTTCGTTCTGGTAGATTCGCTCCTTCGCATCGTCTTCTATGTTCGCGAACGCCTCTTGTCAACTAAAGAAATAAAAAGAGAGAAAGAAAGAGAAAGAGAGAGAGAGAGGGAATACAGTATGTTGCCTGAGTCGTGTGTGTGTGCGCCAAAAAACTTGCAAACGTCAAGTAGGGCTCTTGTAAATTGGGCTGGTACCCGAGTAATGAGGGGTCCAGGCTCACTGGGCCCATGGCGCTTGCGCATACCGCAAACTAGTCGTAATGACTAGTTCAGTCGCTCCCGCGATTTAAACTAATCAGTTTAAACGGGGATTTTTTTGAGAAGTAAAAAAAAATGGAGAGAGAGAGAGAGAGAGAGAGAAAGAAAGAGAGAAAGAGAGAGAGAGAGAGAGAGAGAGAGAGAGATGTAAGAATGAAAATCGAAAGTAAGTGTGAGAGAGTGAGAGAGAGAGAGAAAGAGAGAGAGAGAGAGAGACTCACGCGTATTTTTTCATATAATTCTCCTAAAATTGTGCCGCTCGATGTACATACATAAAGAGAATTGCTAATTGTAAATTCGTTCGAACCTTCCATCAAAATGGTTCTTTCTTTCTTAATTAGTTTAACTGATAATATCTAGGTGTCTCTTCTACGCATTTACCTATCAATGACACGCGAGTTTACATCAAATTACGTGAAAAATGTTTAGATCTGATTGATGAGAATAATAAAGTGGAAAATGACGATTATATAGGCAATAATTTTCTTTCTTTTTCGTGGTTTTTTTTTCTTTTTTTTTTTTTTTTTATATAGGAAGACAGCGACAGCGAAAGAAAAAGTGAGATGAATGAAGTAAAACTGCTCAAAACTTTTGATTATTCTTCAAAATTATTACACATCTCGTTCGATCTTTTATCAGTATCCTCCAGTTTTATTCAAGACTCATTCATTCCATATAATTGAACGTTATACCGATTTTCGATCGCTTTAGAAACGCTTTAACGTAAAATCTGGTAGAAAAGCTTCCCCTGGGATTTTTAAAGATAATTGAAAAGAAAATAAAAAAGAAGGATGATAGAAAGGAAAGATAGAAAGGGATGAGTTAAAGAGAGAGAGAGAGAGAGAGAGAAATAAAGACGATTGACAATTTGCTGAGCGTAGAAGTGCCTTAATTTTTCGTAATAGTATATGACGTATGTAAGAGCGTTGCAAGGATCGAAAAGAAATTTTTTACTAAGCTTTCAACTAAGACGAACAATTAAAAAGAATGCATTGAATTGTCAATGTGTACAGTATACGTGTAGTAAAGAGCAGAATCTGAAGAGAAAAATAAAAAATGAAAGAGAGAGAGAGAGAGAGAGAGAGAGAGAGAGAGAGAGAGAGAGAGAGAGAGAGAGAGAGAGAGAGAGAGAGAGAGAGAGAGAGAGAGAGGAAGATAGAGAGAGACTAGAATCGAATCAAATCGATAATTTTTCACTTTATCAAAGACTTCTAATTAATTTATCAGTAAAAAATTATGTGATTTGATGAAACTGCTTCGAACGATGCTCATTCACAAGTTAAATACGTAAAAGAGTCTCAGAAGTTCGCGTTTCTTTTTTTATTCCCTTTTTTATCATATATATATTTGTCTTTTTTCTTACAATAGATTGCTTTAGTTTATCGATTGTTCGACGAGTTCTATTTCAATATAAAACTTCGTATTGTATGGTGTCACTGATAGAAAGATATTTTAGAGAGAAAAAAAGAGAGAGAAAAAGGATAGTGTGTGTGTGTGTTTAGAAACATCGAGCGAGCATAAAACGGATTGTTACGCGTTTTAGAGCGAGATATGTCTTGATACATTACGATAGCTCGCCAATTTACACATGTAACACGTTTTTGGGTCGCGTATGAGAATATGCGTTTCGACGATTGTACCTGGATTTGAGATCGTTGAAAGATTTAGAATTAGCTCCGAAATTTTTCTAACATTTATTTCATATTAATTTTCATTATTTAATTTCAATTATTTTTTTTTTGATAGAATTTACAAAAAGAGAGAATAACAAAGGGAAAAAAGGGAAAAAGAAATGTAACAAGGAAAAAGGAGAAAATACGAGTAACGATCTAAACTTTTGACCTGTTTAAAACAAAGAAAAAGGGAAAAAAACATATTTTATGCGGCATGACTTCGTGCCATGTGCAAAGTATTTTGTCAAGGCAAAACGACCGCAAAGGGTAGTTTTTTTGTTTGTTTTATACAGAAGAACTGTATTATTCGTGATAAGAAAAGAATGCCAACGGAGAAAATCTCTAAAGCTCTTTGATATTTTTTTTTCTTTCTTCCTTTTTTCTTTTTTTTTTTTTTTTTTTTTTTTCTTCATTTCTTTCTATTTCCGACACTGATACGTATAATTCACATGTATGTATGTATGTATGTATGTATAATATGTACATACATACATTTTCCTTTAATCCAAGCATTGAATTAATGAGGAAGATAAAAAAGAAGCACTTAGACCGCGAACGAATATTTTTAAAGAAAGAACAGATCTATTCAACTTTCATCATTTATTTATATAAGGAAGATAAAATAATTATCTTGTATAATTATCGACGAATAATAATCATGTTGAATTTCAACAATTGTCGGAATAAAAGATTCAACGACGGATGAAATTTGATTAGATAGTTAAAAAAAAAAAAAAAAAAGGAAATCACGATTCATGTATTATTTGTTTTTATTTTATTTTATTTTATTTTATTTTTCTTTAATGATCAATTTTTCTCAGTATATTGCTTGAAAATTATTAATTAAAGATGGTTTCCAATTAAAGAAAGTTAATCCACTTGTAAAAAAGAAAAGAAACTAAACTTGGATTGAGATTTTCTCAACATTATTGCTTTCGTAAAAATAATTTGAGTTGAGAAAAGAAAGAAAAGAAAGGAAAAAAATTGATGTTCACGAAATCTTAAGTAAGTGAATCTTTTTTTTTTATTTAATGAAATTTAATTTTACAAATGCAAGAATTTCATTTACGTCGAAGTATTAGAAGAAAAAAAAGAAAAAAGAAGAAAAACAGAAAACAAGAAAGAAAGAGAAAAAAATGATTAACTGATAACACCTCTCTTGTTCTATGGAAATGATTTTTTTTTTTTTTTTTTTTTTTTTTTTTTTTGAGATTTAATTCGGAGCAACAACTTTCTCACGCGCGCGCAATACGCAACCCTATAAACGCGTTTGAATGCACTGTTATCAAAATATTCCTTCGTATCTATCGAACAACAAAGATAGCGATACAATTTTGCTCATTGATCTTACGCAAGTATCCCAAATATTTTATGAGATTCCAGTTGTAAAAAATCCTTGGAAGTTTTTCTTTTATTTTATTTTATTTTATTTTATTTTTTTTTTCTTTTTTTTTTTTTTTTTTTTCTTATTATTTTTATTTTTCTATTTTGTCGGAATGTTCGAAAGACAGGTTCGTTCGAACGCACAATATTTTTAATTTTGTTTTAAACTTTGTGTATCTATTAAATGTAAGCAATATTTATTGAAAGGTAAAAACGTAAAAAAAGATATATTTATATATATACATACATATATATGTGTATATATATAATATATGTGTGTATATATGTATGTGTATATATATAACCTTTTTACTTTAATCACTATTATTTGCATAAATACACTTATTATGATAATATTTCCTTGAAAAGAAAAGAAAATGACGCTGTTTCAACGCAGTTTTGTTTTATATTTTTCGATCCGTTCCAACCAGTAAAAATTCTACGTATTATACGGATAATAGAAACAAACAAACAAAAAATATATAAGAAATATATGGAAATTCCCGTGATCGATCGATGCGAGATAACTTTTGTCAATTTTTTGTCAATTATATTTTTTCGAGGACAAAAATGAGAAATCTTTATGTTTGAACTCATGCAATGAAAACAAAAAGAATTAAATTAAAAAGAAAGGAAATAATAATAATAAAAAGAAAAAGAAATATATATCAACGATGCCAGTGCACGACGACGAACATAAAACTTTAAGATCATTATTGTAGTCAAATTTGTCCTCTTTTTTATTTCTTTCGAATAAAAATTGAGATTGTTGAACTAGAAAAAAAAAATGAAAAAAAAAAGAATAACTATCGGACTTGTTAATTTCTAATCGATCCATATGTGTTAATTCTACGAAGAAGAATTCAATGGAACTTCAATATAATATGTTCCCGTTGCGCACGTTAATCTGGTTATTTTAAATAAATAACATTAAGAACACACAATAAGAACAATATAACACAACAATCTTCGTGTAGTAAGTACGTGTAAGAAGAAAATGGATTTCATAAGCAGACACATGTGTTGAAGACGCACTCAACGACGACGATGACGACGACGAAAACAACAACAATAACAACAACAAAGAAAAATGAAAACAAAAATTTAAGCCGTCAATATGGGAAACAACGTCTATGTTATTTCATTTTTCCTAGTCACGCAATCGAATAGTATGTAAATGTTGCATAGTATTAAATAAGTTGGAAATTTAATTATATACACCGATCTACATATGTATGTATGTATGTTTTGTATGTATGTAGGCATGCATGAGTAAACAGAGAAAAAGAATCAAATAAGTAAGAAAGAGAGAGAGAGAGAGAGAGAGAGAGAGAGAGAGAGAGAGAGAGAGAGAGAGAGAGAGCAAAAAAGAGGAAGAAAGAGTATTAAAGAGATAGAGAAAGTATGCACACGTAAATGCAAGTATTCTCATGAAATTCCAACTCTTTCCTGTACTTTTTACAAAGAACCGATTTCAAAACAGACGGCCATCTTTAATCCTAAATCGTCTGTCTCTTCGTATATCTCGAAAAAATATATAATAATTAATTATGATATAATAATCATTATTAAAAAAAAAAAAAAAGAACAAGAAAAAAAGAGAAAAGAGAAAAAATACATAAATTAATTGGAAACTTTTCCTTTTTTTATAAAAATATTTTAATGTATTATCGAAATATATAATGATTTTTCTTTGTTACAATTAAATGAAGATATTCAATTATACGCAGGAACGGACGAAGCGATTATTTCTCGAAGAACGA